CTGAATATCAACGGGAAATCACACACTACTTACTTTTACGAATGTAAATTTTATCTAGTTCGTATCATAATATGGACACTAGTTTAGGTGACTGGATAATGAGCACAGTGTTTTGAATCGGATGTGAATCCAATAAAAAGCATCGGTTCTTACATGGTGACAGATACGCTTAAACAATGAGTTTGATGTAGCACTAAACTTAGACCAGCACAACAAAAAATGTAATGGATATGATTTCGAGTCACATGGTCATGTTGCATCTTGTTCAATGGAATTTAATATGTACTGGCTAGACAAGTCTGAGACTGATTATAACTTCATGATCAGTAAAAATGGTTCAATCTAAGAGTTCCGATAAGTTTGTTGTAAACTGAGAATTTTAAAAAAAAATTCGAAATGAGGTCACATATCCCTAAAATCCCATGGTATCTATTAACTCACTTAATTCTTCATAACAAGGTTCTAATTGCAAATGAAAATCACACTACCGTAGTATATTATTTTACGATCCATTCAAGAAATTTAGCTTAGATGTTTGTTTATATACTAAATCAAGTGGGTAAATAAACATAAAAATTAATTCTTTGAAGAATTAGTAATCAAATTAAATAAATTACAGGGGTCAACTGTCAATACGAAATGGAGCCTAAACAATTCGAAATGTTAACTATATATACCAAACGGTTTATAATACAAAAAAATCATACTAGAAATAACTGCAGTATTCATAACTTTCTAGTGTTATTAAAGCTTAATTTCATACAGTGCAACTATGTGCATGAATACGTAGAGTAGATAAATAAGCTTCCAGATTATTTATTTGTCTATTTAAATGGTTCTTATTTAATTACATTTTTATCTTCTTAGGAAAACAATTACCAGGTTCAAATTATTTGTTGAACTATACAGTAATGTATCATTGGAGACATTTGTTAAACTTGCAAACATTCTTTCTTTAGTTCATCGGCAGTAATAATTTACATTTGAGTTTTCTCTATTTATTTATTTATTCATTTATGTATACAAACAAATGACTATTTATTTATATCATCCTTATTGTCTACATTAAATGCATGGAACATATTTCTTTTCATTAGTTTATAATGATATATCTATTTTACAAATAAAAAAAGAAGGGGTTAGGGGGGGGAATAAAGGGAGTTGAGAATTGCAAACTTTAGCAACAACAACAACGAAAAACAACACACAAACAAACAAATAAATAAACAAACAATGTAATTGACTTGTAAATACTTTATTGGGAAATACAAATAACTGTAATATTTATACATTGGTAAATCATGAAAAAGAAAAAGAAAACATGATTTACATAGTTAATTTATTACTGAAATGATTCTTCTATATAATTTTATCAGTAATATGATATATATATATATATATATATATATATATATATATATATATATATACCATACATTCTAACAAGATAACTAAATTGTATCATTCGTCCGATTTAAGACAATAAAGACAATTAAAAAGATTAAGAATTATTTATTGAAACAAATTGAATTCATTTGATAGATTCACTTTAGAAATAAAACTTGAGGATTGATTTAAGAAATTCACAATTCCTTTTTCCTTTTTTTGTTTTTTTTTGTTTTTTTTAGGCAAATAATTAATTTGTATTAATAAAAATAATGTATTAAGGTAACTAGAAAAAAAATCCGATTTAAGTGTATAATTTATTGGTCCACTTTAAATAGATATATATATATATATTTAAATGAACTCTGACTGTAGCTCTTCTAGGATTACTGTTAGTCTTGAACCTGAGTAAAGGAGGAGGGTTGATCATGGGACCAGTAACTCCATCCTGTAGAAAATAACCTTGCTGAAAAAAAGGTAACTAGTAAGTTAAATTTGTTTGATAATGTTTTTTCATTAAGATCATGAATCAGATTGATGTTAGACTACCATTGAAAACCTGAAAGCATTGGATAACCGTCTCGGCCTAATATGGGACTCATAAGCAGTGCACAATCATGATACCACTTTCGGGATTCGAACCCAGTGTTGTGTGTGCTACTGATGTCGACAGATATATGTAGCATATATCATCAATTTAAATTAAAATGCCTGGAGGTAGGAGGTTAAGAAGATCAAAGAAAAGAGAATGAGAACAAAGAATGATTACTGTGGAAATGAAGGATCAGTGAAGTCTGAGACAATCGATTGACATTGTGCAAATGAAGTATTCATTACAAGGTTCTCAGATTTTACTAAGATATTCTGTAGTTTTGTGTTGAAATACATCCAATTGTCCCCACCTATGTTCTTGTTCACTACACCAGGAATAACGGTCTTGCACGCAAATGCGCACTGCTAAGGAGTCACATAATAGGACGAAAAGGCCATCCAGTTCTTTCAGATTCTCAGTAGTGGTCTAACGTCGATCGATTCATGATCTCAATCTAAAACTTAGTAATCTCCACAACCCTATACTGATAATGTTGACAATAATAATTATCAATGCAATTATTCGATTTTTTTATGCTTTCTTCGACTGACTCATGATCTCGACTATTAAATTTGTAATTGATTCCGTAAGACGTAATAAATATTCTCAAACAAAGTTTATTTTCACTCTACTCATCCACAAACTCTATGACATGCCTAAATTATATCACTTCTGTTAATTCTTCTTTTCTACTCCTAAATTTAAACTCGCAGAATATGATTTTCATGTTTCTTAATTGATATTTGTGACAGATTGACCTCAGGGATTACTGGACAGTCGTTTTCTTCTAGTATGTGGCTCAAGAAGCTAAACCAACAACATCATCAATATTCAATTCTAGAATCTTAAGCTCATAGGATAGGGGCTTAACCACGTGATAACTGATTTACGTCCAATGGTACAAATCATCAACTACAAGCATCAACGTATAAACAGGTACATTTGTTTATAGATTTATCCATCGACAATTATACGCAAAGATATATATTTAAGAAAGACAAAAAGAATCCTCACACATAAGGACTACAATTTAGCAGTTTAAAATTGCATCAATAGATTATTTAGAATTTCAACTAGTAGATCGCAGGTTCCAATCCAGAAATGTATACCTCCGTTTGGGAAGCCAGGTACCGTTACTGATCCTAAAACAAACAATATGGTCAAAAGTCAAGTACATAATCCTGTACTTGATAAATGAGTTATAACGCCATTATCTTACTAGGCAACCAATGTCATATCATCTGGTTGTTATTGTTTATAGTGTTTCATTAATGAGGCTTGTAATCCCATCAATAGACTGGGTAATTCGGTATTGCCAACTCTTTTGCTTACTACACTTCGGTTCTCTCGATATACCTTTAATTGCATTATATATATATATATATATATATATATATATATATATATATATAAACAGGAAAACAATAAGGTATATTTTACTTAAAGCTAGATGACTAAATGCAATCTCTTATTTCACAGTGACTCCTAGTTCTTGGTTAAAAATATTTGTTTAATAATATCAGTGATATAGTTCTTGTTCCTAAATAGACAAATTAAGCTTGAATATGCGTATCACTCTTTAATTAAGTTTCTAAGTAACACCACGGAACATGTACACAGCAATCACTCTAGATAGTTGAGTCCAGGGATTTCCATCCAGTAACAATCGAGCTCATTCGGAATTTAATCACTTACAAAATCCACTTCTAGTTACTCTAAGAAATCAGTCTTATATTGAGATGTGAAATTAGAAACTTAAATTATAAATGATTATATCATGAACAAAGTATTCATGGTGTTAAATTCTTTATGGAGTACTAGAAACATGAAGTTGATGTTGATTCACTGATCAAATGACAACTTCTTCTTCTTCTTCTTCTTCTTCTACTACTACTACTACTACTACTACTACTACTACTACTACTACTACTACTACTACTACTACTACTACTACTACTATTACTACTACTGTTACTACTATAACTACTACTAATAACATACTAAATTATGTATGTTTATTTGGTGTACAGTATTCTCTGTAATAAATGAAGATCAAGTTTGCTGAATAAATCGTTTATCATTACCTCAGAGAAATATCAATGAAGGTTTCATCTGTACATATCTTTAACTTAACTGTCAATTCCCTTGAGATATGAAACTACATTGGATTGAATTGTTGTTTTTCGACTAACTCAATTCATATATATCTGTCAAATTCCCGACTAGAAATAACCAATAATAATATACTTTTACATACACAAACATATTTACGTGAGATAAGCATACAGACAAGTTCTCTTCATTTCTCGGTCAAAATAGTGATGAATATCATGAAATGGAATGTATTTGTTGAAATTATAAAGCATGATGCTATTTTCATTCGTTTGCTTTAAATTAGATAAATAAATAAATGTTCAGTGAATTAGATCAATTAATTATATTGATTTAAGAGATTCATCAACATTAGTCCATTTGAAATTAATTTTACTGGGGAATCATTAAAAACCAGAAAATAATTGACAACTGTCTAGTTCTAGTTTAAGATTATTTAATTGTGGAAATTCACGATCAAGCCATGGCACAGAGTCAGAACATTCAGCTTAGAAATGTGAACCACTGAATTTCGATCGATCGGTTCAGTGGTATCATGTTCGTAATGTGGGGTTGAAAGTCTTGGGTTTAATCACAAAAATTTTATAACTATTTCTTGCCCGACTAAGAGACTGATATTGGTCCATAATAAATGCGAATTCACTTCACATCACCGTTATTTAGTGTAAGATCCATTTTGAATGCTTTGTGTGTTTGTGAAAATCCCTCCATGTATATACTTGCACTTTGTTCCTATTGATTCTTTTAGTCGTACAATGTTAACTTTTTGACTACAGTTGAACTGTTAATATTTGTATTTTATTATAGTTTTCGTTTTTACCACACCTTCACTAATTCCCTATGCTTCTTCCCGAACTGCACTTATGTTGTTTTACTTTATACTAAGTCTGAGCGGCAGCCATTTTGGTTGGTTCCTACTTTTGATTGCTTGACCTGCGTTGACTGGGATTGTGCATTTTTGTTGTGAATTGAAGCACTCTTCCAGAATTGAAAACACTCTGTGTTATAGAGCGACTAATTATTACCTTTTGAACGAATCTGTACGTGATCTATCCAGACAGGATAGAATAACATTTATTTGTGGTGATTGTTTAGATTTGATCAATTAAACAATTATTGGTTGGATAGCTGAGTGGTTATATTTGTTTAGGTAATAATGTACACTTAAATTTATGATAAATTATAGAACCGCTATCTTACCCAATTCCTTTGTTTTGGTTTCAATCGGGCGAGGGCGCGTATCTAACTCATCCAGACAGCTGTCCAGCAGTCCAAACGTAGTTTGGATCTTACAGTTCTAAACAAATATTTGGTCGAATTCGTTTGGCTTTCGTTTCGTTGATTCCAATCATCGTCTCTGGGAATATCTGGTCGTTCGCTTCCGATGCCAAACAATCGTCGAAGGAAATTAAGTCCAAGGCTCGTGAATGTTAAAAGAGATGAACAAAAGGATGGATCCCCTCAATCAAGGCAAGTGCCTTCTGATGCTTCTATGTGTCATGGTTCATATTCTAATAGGGACGATTGTAATTATAGTGAATCTAGTTGTGATATAATGGCAGATGGCATAGAAAACCTTAATTTAGACGTGAAGCAAGCAAAAGGCGTAAGGCCTACAGCGTTTTTCATAGGTCCAGAGTTACCAAAGGTTGAGTTAAGTTATTTCGACGGTCAACCAAGAGGTTACTGGAAGTTTTTAAGGGAGTTTGAGACCTATGTGGAATCAAGGGTCAAGGATGATGGTCAACGCTTGCTTTATTTGATGCATTATTGTAAGGGTAAAGCGAAAACAGCCATTGAGGGTTGTGTTATGTTGGAAGCCTCTTTTGGTTACAAGAAGGCCAAGGAAATTCTAAAACGGTTGTTCGGACAGGCGCATGTAATCGCTCGGGAGACTTTAGAGGACTTATTCAAAACTACAAATGTTGATTACAGTGATCCTGAGCAACTAACAAATCTAGCTATTAGGATGGAAAATTGTTCTATGGTTTTGAAACAGATGAAGTACACTGCCGACTTAAACTCTTTAATTACCTTAGAGAGAATAGTAGGACTCTTACCTCAAGTTATGCAAGCCCAGTGGGCGGACTGGGTAGATGAATTGACTGAAGATAATAGAGAACCAACCTTTGATGAGCTTACCCAATTTATAGCATCCCGCGCGAGGGTAGCTAATAGTAGGTTTGGACGGTTAGCGAATCGTCCGAGAAAGGGACACAACTTAAAGACAAATTGTCACTTGCAATTGGAGCAGGCGAATAATTCGAAAGAGAAAGCTAAATGCAGTGTGTGTTCCCTGGACCATGCTATTTATAAATGTCCAAATTTTTTAGCGCTTACCGTTCAAGAGAGATGGTCTCACGCGAAGGTTAATGGCATCTGTTTTGTCTGCCTCAGGCAAGGGCATAAAGTTAGTGAATGTAAGCTGGCAAAACGTTGTAACGTTGAGGGTTGTGAAAGGAAACACCATTCTTTGTTACACAGCGAGAGTGAGAAATCTGGTACCTCGAGTTGTTGCGGATATACTAAATCACTAATCAGTCAAGTGTGTTTAGGCATGATTCCCGTACGGTTGAAATCGCGAAAAGCCGAGATTGTGGGTTATGCTCTGTTGGACAACGGTTCTGATGTGACACTGATAAGATCAAACTGTTTGAGGTCTCTCGGGCTGAGCGAAGACGAAGCATCAGTGGTAGTTGAGACTGTAGGCGGTAATAGAACAATGAAGGTCACGAGTGCGCCTTTTGAGGTATATTCTTTAGATCAATCTGAACATGTTACTATTGAAGGAGCTCTGGTTGTAGCGAGTATACCAGGTCATAAGCCAACAAAATCAGCAATGAACAACCTAGTTAAGTGGCCGCATTTAAGTGATGTGCCAATAGATAGCCTAGACTCTGAAGAAGTTTTACTGTTGATTGGTTGCGACGTACCAGAAGCACATTGGGTGTTAGACCAACGGTTGGGTGGAAGGAAGAACCCGTACGCTGTGAAAACGTTGCTGGGGTGGACGGTTTTCGGACCCGCGTCATATTCGGAACATAGGAAAAGAGTTGTTAATCATACCAGTAAATTACAGACTTTGGAGAACGAAATACGTAAACTTTACGATGTAGAGTTTTCTGATGATAATTCAAAGGATAAATCAGTATCAATAGAAAATAAGGCGGCTATAAGGATTGTGGAAGGAGGCACACGCTTCGAAAATGGTCATTTTGCAGTTCCTGTACCATGGAAAGTGAACTCAAATATGAAAGGGAGGAATTATGAAGTGGCAAACAATAGACTACAGAGCGTGAAGCGTAGATTGTCGAAAGATGACCTTCTGTATATCAAGTATACAACAGGTATTGAAAGTAATTTTATTCAGGGCTATGCGGAGATCCTTGAAATACAATTGCGACCTAGTTATCACCCCCGGTGGTACTTACCTCACCATGCAGTTTTAAATCCGAAAAAGCCAGCAAACTTTGCCTTGAATAAGACGGCCCAAATATTCTCTGATGGTTATGTTGTAGATGATGTCAAGAATAATTTCTATGTTGATGATTGCTTGATATCCATTCCCACTTGTAATCAAGCAAAGAGTTTCGTTAAACATATAAGTGAATTATTATGTAGAGGAAGCATACAGAAAGTGACTTATCTTGAATATTGGTTCGAATGCCCTACTTTATTGCATGGCGAATTTTATATAACAATCACTGACTGTCCGGAACATACTCCTGACGCTATTGAGCTTAGAAAAACTGCTGTGGGTAACTTGAGTAGTATAAAGTACAACATGTTACCTATTCTCTCTTATTATTCCGAGTGGTTGAAATTAATCAGAGCTGTAACCTGGTTTAGAAGGTTCATCGAATTCCTGATGGTACATCGTGCACCAAGTTGTAAAGGATCCGTTCATCTAGGATGTTTAAAGGTTGACATCGCCAAGTGTAAGAATTTATTGATGGTTCAAAGGGAAGTGTATGGAAAATTATTTAGTGGATTTAGAAACAGCAGTAAAGTAGTAAGATATGATCTGAAAGGCTTATCACCGATAATGCTTGATGGGTTACTCTGTGTTACAGGTCGGCTAAGCTACTCCGAATCCTTAAATGCCTTTAAACATCCAGTAATTTTACGCAGTCGACACTTAGTGACGGAAATGATAATTAGACATTATCATAAGGAACCAGGACACATAGGAAGGTCATTAGAAAAAGGATATAGATATGTGTTTACTTGTTTGCAAACGTGGGCAGTACATATTGAACTGATGTGTAGTTTGATTGCTGATTCATTACGTTTTATTGGAAGAAGAAGGAAACCTCCGGAGATTTACAGTGACAGTGCGTCAAGCTTCGTGGGGACAGTTTCCGAGTTAAGAAGGGTTGTGCAGCAGTCGAATCAGCAGAAGATAAATATTGAATTGTCAGCGAGACCCTCATCCAACAGCATGGCTGGAGTTTGGGGAAGAGTGATTAGGTCTATACCACGACTGTTATTGTTGATCACCAGAGAACAGATGAAGCAGGTCTCCCTGAAGCTTCGGGTTAGTCTTTTTTGTTATTAATGTAGTTAGGTCGAGTAGGCGTACTGCTGTAAGTCCTACTCGTTCCTATAGTGTAATATGCTACATAATGAACCATGACCATAGGCATCAAGGTAGCTTGTGTGGTATGGAGGGATTTTGGGGGCCGGTGTAAGATCCATTTTGAATGTTTTGTGTGTTTGTGAAAATCCCTCCATGTATATACTTGCACTTTGTTCCTATTGATTCTTTTAGTCGTACAATGTTAACTTTTTGACTACAGTTGAACTGTTAATATTTGTATTTTATTATAGTTTTCGTTTTTACCACACCTTCACTAATTCCCTATGCTTCTTCCCGAACTGCACTTATGTTGTTTTACTTTATACTAAGTCTGAGCGGCAGCCATTTTGGTTGGTTCCTACTTTTGATTGCTTGACCTGCGTTGACTGGGATTGTGCATTTTTGTTGTGAATTGAAGCACTCTTCCAGAATTGAAAACACTCTGTGTTATAGAGCGACTAATTATTACCTTTTGAACGAATCTGTACGTGATCTATCCAGACAGGATAGAATAACATTTATTTGTGGTGATTGTTTAGATTTGATCAATTAAACAATTATTGGTTGGATAGCTGAGTGGTTATATTTGTTTAGGTAATAATGTACACTTAAATTTATGATAAATTATAGAACCGCTATCTTACCCAATTCCTTTGTTTTGGTTTCAATCGGGCGAGGGCGCGTATCTAACTCATCCAGACAGCTGTCCAGCAGTCCAAACGTAGTTTGGATCTTACATTTAGTATCATATTGATTTTGATGCAGTGCAATTTCTACAAGTGATTAATATTTGAAATCATACACTTCAACCAACCCTCCTCATAAAAGATGAATTGAAAGGATTTAGACTACCAAGTATATCCAAGAATAATTTGAACTGTTTTGGACTAATAATAAGTTTTGAACTACAAACAGAAGCGAACAACAATAATATTCTTCTCTTACTTATGTTCTAATTTATACAATAGAAATTTTGATTAAAATTGTCAAGTTTAATCAATCGCTTGATAACTGAAAAACATGATGCTCTAGAAATTTCCATCTCCGAAATTTATCATTATTTAGTTTAAATTTCTCATACCATGTAAGTTATTGTGTATTCCTACATTGTCATGTACAAACTCAAAATTTGTTGTTAGTTTATGCATTAGGGGGGGAGGAAAGGAAAAATAAAATCAGCGTTACGTAAAAAAAGCATTTTGCATTACTTATTTATGTATGTTAGCGTTTCTGTAGTTGGGGTTACTAGTCTTGCCTTTATTCTGGTATGGGGCTTGGAGTAGCCACGCTGGGGACTACAGGGAATGATTTATTTATACACATTATTAATGTAAAATTCTTCGACCTTGAATAGCATGTTTTGGTTTGACATACGAGTACGATAATGTAGTCTACACCTTGTAGGATAAGCTGTCATGTAGAATGTCTGGTCTCCAATGTACATTTGTTTCATAGTGTTTGATAATGTTGTCCGAATTATGTTATGCGTTTTATGTTGAATCAGGTATAGTTTCTCAATGAATAACATCCTTAGAGTAGTGGGTTTACGTGTCAGATAAAGAAGAATTTAGGGCACCGAATAAATTTTGGTCATTCTGTAAGCTTTATGAGGCGGTATACTCTTGATACCTTTGTAAATACAGAACATATTTTCATCAAATCTCAAGTAGAACAATTAAAACATGTCATTCAAAAGAAATTCGGTACCTGGGACTTTGAGACATACACTTTTATTCGTACCATAGAAAAAGACTATGTTTACAAACAATCATCTATACGTGTCCCTACTGAAACTTTATCAAACAACTAAGTATTTTCCACTCTGGATGATGGAATTTATGACACGTGTTTCATCTAAACTGGAACTGACATGTTGAATTAAAATGGATCCCATTGTTGACATTTACACTGACATTTGAACTGAATATTCATTGCTAAAAACACTAGTGCGTTTTCTACTGAGCATCTGAATTACGATAGCCACAAATTTGTTTCAGTGAGTATGATATTTACTATTATTCATAAATGTTTGCAGTTCACGAATTCTTTATATGAAGGATTGCATTTGATTGTCTAGCTGACGAGCTAAAATCTTATGAAATTTTCCATTTGAATTTAAATGCTAGTTAATGTCGAAAATACAATCAACCTAAGGCTACAATTAATATATCTAGGCATCTTTTCATGGAGCTTATTGGTTTTCACAGACTAATCAAACATAATCCTATTTATCAGTAGAGGGTTGTGGAGATTGGTGAGTTTATTTGAGACCATGAGGATTCCTATACTAGAAAGAAACGGCCGTCCAATGCCTCCAGGTTTTCAGTAGTTGTCTAAAATTTATCGGTTCATTATCTCAATTGAAACTCATAAATCTCCACAACCCTAGATTGGTAATTATCATGTGCTCACTAATGACTAGCTTTGAGAGGTAATTCTCGGAGTTCTAATGAGAACTCCTGACCAATGGAGTTCAGCCGTGTCTAGTGTGAAGAAGTTACCTACCAAAGACAATGGTGGATAGTGGCGCAATTTCATGAATTCGTTGAAGTTAGACATTAACACCGCTGAATGCCGAATCATGGTTCTAGGAGTTAAGCGTTCACTCGCGAAGTCAAAGGTTCTGAGTCCGAATCCCGCGTGCAGGATCGTGGATAATGACTGCTGCGGAATCCCATACTAGAACATAACAACTGCCCAGTGCTTCAAAGTTTTCAATGATGACCTAACATTGATCGGACCATAATCTTAATTATCAACAATAAAATGATAAAAACTCTTATAAATACCACTAACAAATTACAAGTATTAAACTACTTCGTAAAGTATCCAACTGTCTTAGAACTTGACTAACTATCTAAAGTTGATATACATAATAATGTAATTTCATTTAAAAAAACCCATGAGAGTTGAAGGTTGACATTAAGTGACCGGCCTATATGATTCCCTACCACCCCTTTTAAAAAAATTGTGGGGTGTGAATGAAAAATTTAGGTATCGTTGATTGGTGGACTTGTTTTGCAAGTGTGTGCTCAAGTGATAATGAACAAACATTTTGTTACCTTTAATAATTTTTTGATTGGTCGTAAACGGTTCATCTTTGTAATCTGATTAGTTGAAATCGAAATCGCATCTGGAGCTGTGATTGGATGTCAGAATTTTCATTTTTGACATTTGAAATTTAATGATAATGAATAATCCTTTTTGTGTAATCTTAGTCTTGAAAAAAATTTAGACTTTTGAAGAAAAAGACACCAACTTAATTGCATTACCGTGCAATCCTACTGTTAGTGAATGTGTATTGGGATCAATTTTTGTTTTCCGATCAAGTATACCTTGAATTGAAGTCGTTAATTATCTGAACACGAATAATTATATGTATCTCAGTAAAAGAAAGTTTTTGGGAAAAAGCCACCGAAAACCGGTTTGAATATTTGATAATAAGGATTACTGAATGAGGTCAGTAGTCAAATATTTAATACCAAATTAATAAACAAATTATCACCAAAGTGTGTGCACAGGTTTTTTTGTAACACATGGTGTGTTAATGGGAAAAAGAAATCAACATATCAATAAATCATTATGATAACTTACTGGTTGCAATATGTATAATTCAGGTGAAGCAATCATAGACCATCATTTAATGAACTGACTTAGACAGTATATGAAAGTAGTAATAAATTTTCCGAAATAGACACTTAATATTTAGTAAACGATTATTTTGTAAATGGTCATTCATAATGAGAATTAGAAAAAGTTAGATTTCAATGTGGTTAATTTGGAAATCCATTGAAACACGGTTCATTATTTCCACTTGTAAATTATTTGTAGTTCTGTATTTTAAAATTAATTTTTTGGTCGTTATAAATACTAGTTTGTGTTTAATCAGTCATGTGTGAATATTGTCAACCGCCGTAATATGAAACCTGAATTATCTAGACATTATGAATGTAACCATTTTTGACAAGCATTTGAAATATCAGTTTCATGAAGTGTAAATGAACAAGCCTACGTCGTCGGACTGAGTCAACAAATATCTATCGACTTTAAACGTATAAATATGAATAAGGTCAACTGTATCAACGGACATTTACAATGTTATTATTATTTAATTTCCTTATTATTATTATTATTATTATTATTATTATTATTATTATGTCAATTTACAAGATTCAATTCTTGTACTATGTATTTCATTGACACCAATTTTTTTGCATTTTCAATTTTCCTATTATGCTTAGTCACTTACTGTGACTGAACACTTTACTGCAAATCATCCCGATCTTTAGTGAATGACCTTTTTAATTTGTAAACATATATATCGTTACAGATGTAAACGTTAACCATTGTTAACACATTACATTGTCAAGTTCATTAATGCCATGCCTTATTTTTGGACTTTATAAAATATTAAAATTATGGACTAATAACTGTATAGTGTGATGATGAAGTTAATGAAAACGATTGTTTGCTAAATTATTTTTTATTTTTGAATATTTTAAGGGAATTTTTAACTGGTACAATGTGATTGTACCAGTAATAAATAGTTGAAGAGGTGTGCAAATGAATACGGTGATATAATCAGTAGTTATGAATAACAATGGAGGCTTAGTTTACGATCAGACGTACTTCTTACGTACGCATAGTTCTGGTTTCAGGAACTTTTAATATAAAACAAGAATATGAAATTCTTGTTTTTTGTATTCATGAAACAGCTAATATTCGCATTTCTTTTTACACTTACTATATGACCTTTTATCACATGAATCATTTCAACGATGATGGTTTCAACTTGTTTTCTAATGTCATTATTTTATTCCTAAATAAGTTAATTTTCTCAATTTTGGTTACTTCTCTATGAGCTTTAATCATATTCATCTTTGTAATAATATTCACTAATAAATGTCATCATAAATTCATTGACCTAACGACAAAATTACAATTTTCACTATATTGAAATATTCCTATTAAAATGTACTCAAAATGTACTATTATTAGATAGATTTCAAATGTGTTACTAAAACATGAACGGTAATCACATTATTTTAAATATAAAATTACTAGATTAGTCTTTATTAGATGACAAAATCTTGTCTAAGTTTTCTTAACCTTCATATCTAATAAACGTTAGAAACAAGTTTACGAATACATGAGCGACAATCGCTTTTCCATTATTAATCTCTAAGGGATATCTAAATTCATGAGACATTAATAGGTGCTTAATCACTTGACCTTTGCCGCGGAAAAGTAGTAGATAAAAAATAATGGAAATCAAATTGTGGGTGGCCCTGAAAAGGGCCTTTACTCGTTCTCGCGGTCGGACGTCGTCACTATTAGT